AGCGACCACCAAAAAGAGTGAGATAGTTTATTGACAACGTACAAAGTTCTCGCTGCTGACCCCACGGGTTTATTCGGCACAATAAACACAAAAGTACGACTGCAATGAAACATAAACATAAACTTGAAATAAAAATATATTTATGAAACAAAATTAAAATGTTTTTATGTACATATATAAACATGAAATCCTAGTTAAAAATAAAAATACTCATTTATTGTTTAAGTTTATTTACAAATATTATTTACGGGTCTGTATATTACTTGAAACCATAAGAAGTATAATTGATTATCAAAAAAATTAAAAATAGATAAAATTTGCATTTTATGGAGGATACAATTTTTTGGGGATTTCAAAATAATGTACTAAAACATTAAAAGTAATAAGTTCAAATTTGTAGCAAATATAAATATTGTAATCATTTCTTATTTCCTAATGTAATTTTCCAAGATATTAAAGATCATAATGCAAAAAACTAAATTTATTAAAAGTAACAGGCTTTATGTTTCTTAAACTTCCTACATTTGTCAAAGTATTTATGAATTTTCGAAAGTATTCGTCCACTAGTTTTATTGTTGGAATGAAATATAGCAAGACTTGCATTGCCTACTAAAAAAGTTAGTAGCCGGTAGTCATCAGGTTAAAACTGTGCTTACAAACTGTAATTTAGCACTTCCTGTCAGGCTTCACACTAAACACGTAAAAGGGTGTAGTAGACAGTTACCCATCCCAAACTATAATGAGAAATAAATGAAACAGGACTCATCTTAGATAGATCATGTTTCAGCACACTTGGGATCTGCCCACAAGACCCTGAACATGCCCTCTTTTCAAACCATAGACCATGGCGATGAGTTAGTTCCATAGGGTGAAAAAACTCAGTATCAATATGGAAAGGTATTAAAGTCTGGAAGGATGTATCATTTGGTGTAAACTGGATGATATATTTCTTGTTGTAAATATTTTATGTCTTTAAATTTCTACAAATCTTCTTGTGATTAGTCACAATTATAGGAGGCTGAACAGGACTTAATATATCTGTTTTTATACATTTCATCCTACATCATTAGACCCTATGTGCACTACAAAGACTGCATCACTGCTAGTACCTTTTACTACATCATTTGCTCTGTCAGTTATATCCACCACCCTTGCCCTTGGAGGGCATAATATAGTTCCTTTCTTAATATTTACCTTACAGACTATCTTACCGTGTACCTTACTAAAGAATCACCTATAACGCCTTCTCTCTTCTGGCTCCTCATCTGCACAAGCTAAAGGCAGTCATCTTTCATATTACAAACATGGAAGAACTAGTTTACTTAATCTTTTGCACATATAACATTTAACAACTAAAATCCCTCCTAAAACGTCTAAAACTAAAAACAGATAAGGATGAAGTCAGCTGAAAGCTGTCTTGGATACTTATTTTAAGGTTGTATTTTTAAGCTATCAGTTACCAAAGTGAGAGTTGTTATTTTTGTATTTTTTAATACATGTTGCATTCTTGGTTCAAAAATCTGCTAAATAAATTTATATTTTCACAAGGTATTTTAAAAATAATAATAACATGTTCACAAAATTTATTCTACCATTGTTATAGAAAAGGTAAAAAATGGGCAGTAAAAATAAGATGGCAGAGGCTCAAGTAATATATCGGGTAATATTCGTTTCCATTTTGTGTTTTATTGAAAAGAAAGTTTTAACTTCTACATCTCTTGTTTTTATTAACTAAGTCAATCTATCTTACAGAAACTTTGTTGATCTACACTATATTCTACACCAATTGTCTATAGGGATCTTTAAGTTTTGATATAAAGATATAGGCAGATTAAGTTGTATTATCAATCGTCAATCTGTCGTGTTAAATGCTTTAAAAAAAGTACTTGTCATAAGAGAGAGTAGATTGTATAGACACATTAATAATACTTATGTAAGTATTATGGAAATATGTCACTCTTCCTAAAAGCCGTTGAATTTCCTTCTTCCTGTCACCACCTATCCATCAAGCCATCTCTCTCACTGTAGAATAACACACGTAAGTCATATATTGATCAATTATTTGATCTAAAAGCGGTAATTAGTTAAGTTACGATAAATTTTACATTTTCAAATGTACTTGCCGTTGCAAATTAACATGGAGAGAAAGAGAACTAAGCAGAAAAATAATATTGGCCATATTATTGTTATTCTTTTTCCAAACTCTAGGATAAAGGTCAGATAAACAGAATATGTCACCCGTACTGATGGAGGCTCAACTTTATCTCATTAATCTATCAGAACTTTTTGAACTGAGTTATTTAATAGTTTAGTGTTATTACAAGGTGACTCTAACGTGTCATTCCTAATGATTGAATCTACAGTTTGCTGTTTTAGTAGCACAAAAGCCAGAAACGTTCCGTCTCCCCGATTTTATTTGTAGAAATGTTTACAAAACATGAGACATAACTCCCTTATACCAGGAAGTATTAATACACAATCAAATATTGTTTTAAGGTACTTTTTTGTTTGCTCACAAATTTTAATATTAGGTCATCGAAAAAGATTGTTTGAACTTGTCTAAACACTCCTATTTTCTTAAAGTTGTATGATAGCTTACATGTTTCTCGTCATTAAGAATATTTATAATTAATTCTAATTAGTACTGTAGAATTTTAGCAGTTCTTCTCGTAGGGGTTATTACGTAATGAGCTTTTGAACGATATCAGCTGTCATCAGTCCATTTTTGGTCGGCGAGATAAACTTGCCCAATTGAGTTTTATATATTTTTAGATAAAGAAGTTCACTAAAGTAGTTTTGTTGCACTTTAACTTTTATAACATTACACTTAGAACGAGTGTTTTAGCTTTTCAGTTGAATCTCCAATGGGTAGCATTCTATATCTTCGACCAGGGCTGATGAGAAAGATAATAGTTGAAAATGCAGCTCTCATCTGTGCAAGACACGAGTTTTTATTATCCAGTTTGAATTGTTATGTTTCTTATTACAACGTATCGTTTTTGTGGATATCTCTAAACAATTACACAGTCAACATAGATGATCATTATCTGCAGCGATTCACATAAAAGCCTTAACATGGAGAAACAAAACGGAGAGTGCTTTAAGGTTTCAACACGTTCTATAAGTCATTTCAACTAGATGATTTCTTAAAATGTGTAGAATAAAGAGTATAGCAATCAAAAGTTATTTTAAGATAATAAAAACTTGAATCCAGTTAGCGGTGTTTTAAACGTATCATCGAGTCACTGGGCTAGAAAAAACAAAATATCTGAGCCAAGCACTTTAACCAATCAATTCGTGTGTGATTAAATAATATACTTAACATCCTCAAAAAAGGCTCTTTGCTGAATTAACTGTTCCACTCTATTTACTCAAAAAGGCAGCTAATCATTACGTTTTTAAAATAACTGTAATATGAACCTCCATTTTAAAATCAGTGTCAAGTAAGAATGGTTATAAACAAAATCAGAGTAACGGAAATAAAGTATATATAACTAATACTTGTTTTGTCACTTTCTCTACTTTCCACTGTTATTTATCTGTCAAATGATACACACAAATCTATACATGTATCCAAGACATATTAAAGCCTTTAACGAATACATTTAAGTAACTTTCATTAATTTTAGATATTAATTTCTGGAATATTATGTTGAAATAAGGAAGTTATAGTGTAAATCGATTTTCATGATCAAATACAAATTTCTGAAAACTATTACGCCCTACATGTACATATACATGTTCAGTAGTGTGCAAACTTATTTGAACATCTCATTACTCTTGTATGTTTGACTTGTTGTCCCTATGAAATAGAACCATAGTAGTTTAAAACGTTGGAGAGGCTTAAAAAGAGTCATTGATTTCCTCCCTTTATAAGTCAATTCCTCTGACGTGTTATTCTTTGTGCCTCAAGGAGAAAAGATCTGTGGAAGACCATTGTCGCCAACGTCCTGTTTGGATATGGTGTATAGAAAGAGAGAGACATGTAAGTAAATATATAGATAATTATTTTGTTTCAAAAACATCGTCCTGTACAGCTAATTATACAAAGAATTGAGTATACAAATTTAAAAAATTTTGAATGTGTAAATCAGCAAGATACGTGGCAAACTCAGTCAATATAGAATTACGATAAAATGGCGTGTATTAAAAATATAATTTGGCATTACGTAGGTAATAAGATGTCACTGAAAATTAATTGTTTTTTGGAGGTATATGTGACAGCCCTTTTCCACCAACATATTCATACACTCGGATCATAAAGATATATTCAGAACAGGGATTTACAATTTCTAAGATAAGTATATCCTTTCTTCTTAATGGCATTGGTAAACAAAGGAATGTGTATTAACTTGTGGAACCAGGATCATCAAGAAAGAAACCTGCAAAAAAATCGTACCCCAGCCATAAAGTGCAATGTATTGTAATAGGCCAGAATCATTATCCTCCTTAACTAAATAGCTTATGGAAAGCCCCCAGGAGGGTGGATGCACCTTGGACATGACAGTCTTATGCTAAGCTGCAGAATTATTGTCAAAATTCACGGTATTCAGATAAAATATGACCAGATGAAGATTCCAATCTTTTTGCTAAAATATACTCAACCTCTGTAGTGGGTAGAGTTGCCATTAACTTCCTAAAACAGAAAAAAAAATCATCCTTTGACAGAATTAAAATCATGATGCTGCTAGAAGTTTAAGAAAAATTTTAAACAACCTTGGCTGTCCATCAGTTACTATTAAGAACACATTGTACAAATCTGTCCGCTAAGAACTCTTAAGTACACATTGTTCAAATAAAAGGAAACCAAGTCATATAATATCAGACAAAGCAGTTGTGGAAAAAAAAAGCTCACTTAAAGAGCTGTTAGATATCTAAAAGTTTTTTGTTTTTTTTTTAATTTCGCGCAAAGCTACACGAGGGCTATCTGCGCTAGCCTTCCCTAATTTAACAGCGTAAGACTAGAGGGAAGGCAGCTAGTCATCACCACCCACCGCCAACTCTTGGGCTACTCTTTTACAAACGAATAGTGGGATTGACCGTCACATTATAACGCCCCACGGCTGAAAGGGCAAGCGTGTTTGGTGTGACGGGGATTCGAACCCGCGACCTTCAGATTGCGAGTCGAGTGTCCGTAACCACCTGGCCATGCCCGGCCGTCTAAAAGTTTAGATCCCTGAAAAACCGAAAGAAAACTACATATAACCTTACTGATCATGTTAACAATAAAATTTTAGAAGTACAGTGTGAAGAAGCTGCAGAAATTTGGCTTTCGGGAAACAGTAGTAACAAAAAAGTCCTTAATGCGCAAAGAAAACATACCAATGAGAATAGTTTTGTGAAATTACATATTTCATGGTCTTAGGAATAGTGGAACAATGTGTTTTGGACAGACGAGTTTAAATGTGAACTGTTTGATTCCCATCCGCGTCAATGTACTAACTATCAAGCATTTAGGAGACTATGATGGTTTGGAGCACAATATTTGTTGGCCCTCTTAACAAAATTGATGGAATCATAAATCAGCATCAATACTATCATCTATCATCCTATATCCTTTGGAAAGTAGCTGTAATAGTCAGGAAATTTGATTTGCAATAGATAATCTCTATAGCAAAGCAATGAGTTTTTGTGTATGTAAAACTCATAAAGTGGCAATTGTCGAGATGGTATAATAACTTTGCATATTACTTTATATATTTATATATACATATATATATATATATATATGTATGCATTGAGCCTTGAACACTACATGAAATGAATGAACTATAAGTTGAAAAATAAAAGAACAGCAACGTTTCATTGACCAAATCTAGGACTTACAAATTGATAATTGTAACAAAGAACAGCATTTCTATATCAAAAGCTTCTTATTTATCAGTAAAGCTAGTTTAATGTTATGTTCTTTAGTGTGAAAAGAGAATGAGAACTGTTCCCAAAAGTAATCATCAGTAATTTAAAATTATCTTCTTTAGAAAACAGAAATAGGCAGCTTTTAATAAAAAATATTACTTAACTATCCCTAAAGCTAGTTCTAGCTGTGTTATTTATAGGACAGAAAAAAAAATAATTCCAACATTTCAGCAACGAAATGTTAACTGTTTATTTTATCATTTCATAAGCTTATCAGTATTTTGAAAACACCATTTCATATCATAAAAGGGTAATCCTATAACTTACCTTAAGAAATAAAAAAATGTTCGCATTCTCTGTTCATTAACTTAATAAATAAACTCATTTGTATCATACAGGTATGATATACTTACGCTAATATTTCGGCCGATGTTTATTTGAATAACGCATTTTATGTTGAATGTTTTGTATTACTTTATCTATTCCACTTTCAGCTTAAATGAACTTCTGAATTTTAAAATACACAATTGTATCTAAATTATATGTAACGATTTTCATATAATAGAAACGTATATTTTTAGCTATTTAACGTCTAATTTTTTTGAAAAATGTATCTCAGGTAATCGTCATATTCATAGAATTCTGAAAAAAAGCAAATTCAATGGTACATAAAGCAAATAACTACTAAAAAAACTGTTGTAAAGTCTGTTTGCTCATTTACTTAAATAGATAATCTGATCAGAGCTATTATAGTCTGTAATTGAAGATTTGAGCCGGTCACGGAAAAGTTTTGTTACCTAGTGTGAACTTAAATACCGCCTTTTAAATATTTGTTTTTCTTATAGTATATAATTTTTTGTAAGGCGAAATATTGACCAAATATTTATATCTCGTTTCTCATATTATTATTATTATTACTAAGTACACTTGAATTATAACATGATATCTATTTCTTCTCATAGCGTTGGTGTATAACGGTAATTAAAAATTTATAAACTCAATTTTAGAGCTAAAGGTAAAACGTTGAAATCTGTAGTAAACAAATACTTTATTTTCAAAGTGTCATACAAGCATTAATAATTAAATTTCCATATTGTTTTTGCTTAATTTCAATGTTTCTAACCTTTTAGTATAAATGCATATGTAGTTAAGTGTTTAAAATACAGAAATATAGTTTTTCTATTGGTAGATCATATTAATAGGTGAATAGTTCAATAGGATGATGATCTCATCACAGGGTGTCTCAATGTGTGATTACATCATCAACGTTGTAGTCTAGATTTAATTATATATCCTAAAAAGTTACAAGTAAAATCATTATTTTAACAAGACAACTATTATAGCAGTTTTATCGCACATACTATCTTAATTTATCCATTACTTGAGCAAAGCAAATATAATAGCATAGCCAATAATTTACTTTACATACTTTTACAATTATCCTTCGCTTTATGTATAAAACACTTTAGTAATTTAGTTCTATAGTTTTCGCTTCTATATTCAAATTGCATGAAATACTTTTTGCATTTTCTGATGTTTTATATGTAAAACACTTATTGCTAATTTATTTCTATAATTAATACATTGTATAACATCTCTTCAGGCTGAAAAGGATGCTTACTTAAATCTCATATTTAGCTTTATAAGTTGACTTGTTCTGCTAAAGTTTAAAAGATCTACATAAATAGTTATGTTTAATCATTACTATTCTTACCTTTCTGTAGATATCTTTGTCCAGAGCTTGTTTCTTGCTGGTTTAGAACTTTATTCATACAGGATTGATAAGCAATATTCTTTACTATTTCGAAAAACGAACGTTTAATAAAGATAGACCACTTTCTCAATATATTGCTGACATATTCACCCCAATCAGTGTTTCTAAGTTTCTGAACTTCAAGACCACTTACAGTCTCAATAAACTTTGATTGTTACCAAGTACAAAGGGCAAGAGAGTCATCACGTGGTCAAACAACCAGTCCCCTCTTAAAACTGGCAGAATAAAAGGTCAATAGCATTGAAAGATCTGAAAGTAGAAAATTTTGTAGCACACAGACATATGCCTTTTTGGTAGAATATATTATTTCTAGTTTATAATGATTCAAACGTATATATATCAAATATATGTTGACAAATCAGAAATTCTATTACATTATAACATTTAATCTTATTAGTTCACCAAAGCATCAAATACATTTTTCACAAATGAGCATAATTGAAAGAAAAGTTGACAATCATAACCTTTAAAGGACCTTTAATTACAAATCAAGTGATTATTCTTTCACATTTTATAAATCCAAACATATTTACTGTTTATCATTACAAAAAACAATAAAAAATCACAGACTTGACAAGTATACTAAAACATTTATTAACAAAAGAACAAAATATACTAATATAGTACAAACATCTTAGCTTATAAAATACCAGATTAGCTTTCATGCAACTTTTGTACATTATGTTCATATTACTATTTCAGTTAGTCTATATTTTTCATTTGTGTAACAATATGTGAAAAAAAACACTGAATTTATCACGAGACATTGTAATAAAAACATATGAATAAATGAAAAATAAACATCCAAGATTTCAGTTAGTAGGCTCAGAAAATCTAGTTTATAGACTATTTCAAAACAGATATTTCCTCTCATAGATTTTGAAACAGTGTTATGGTAGTATGAATTACCTTTTCACCTAAAAAATTATACAAATAGACAGTTAAAAATCAGAGTTCTGTGATTTTTTTTATATAAAACTCACTTTTCATCACAGTCCAATATGCTATCATTAATATATGTAAGTAAAATCTCATTCTTAACTATCACACATGCTGAAACATTTGCTAACAAAATTTCAAGATATATAAATATATTATTTACAAAAACATCTTAGTTTATAAAATACTGACCTATACATATTTAGCTGTCTTTTATAATAAATTACACCCCATGAATATCAGTTTCTAACAAGTATGTTTGAACACCTAATACAATTCTCAATTTATATATCTTATATGAAACTCATGTTTCATCATAACCTAATATGCTATCATTAATATGTACGAGTAAAATCACACACTTAACATGCAAAATCAAATATCTATTAACAAAATTTAAAGTTAGAAGAAAATACTTTATCATTAATAATGTGCATATATTCTAGTTTTGAAACTTTCAAGAACAAAATCTCTAAATGTTCTTACGATAAAAAACGTGATCTACAAAAAAAGAAGATTCTTCCACATTTTTATAAATAACGTGATGTTTACAATCTTTTGACCTTTGTTCATTAGTCACATGCATATCAACGACCACTACCTGAGAAACAATCAGTTCTTTGTCATATACTGAAAACAAGAACTAATATATTTCATCTGATATATAACAACACAGAATACTGACTATGGCTCTTGTATGATATAAAGAATGAAGAATATGTTAAATACTGTGATGTTACATCACTATATCATTGGAAAAATATCGCAGTGAACGTTTTCAATAGAGTAATGTATTTGAAAGTTCTGTGATCTCAAAAGATATAGTGTACAAGAAAAATATCATTTTAGATGAAATCAGATTATAAAGAGCATTCATATAAATTCATAACATGCTATAACACGATTCTCCCTTAAGTTACAGTCATACAAAAACCTACATTCTCATATTAAGTAGCCAACAGTGTCTAGTACGGCTGAGAGAATGTTATCAACTCTTGAAGTAGTTTTGTGATAATCGATAAAAACGTACTTTTGATGGTAGATGGGTATAATGTGGAGCCTGTTACTGCTGCAATATCTATTTTCTTCGGCCTTTCGCCTAGTACCAGAGCTCGATGAGTTAGCTGGAAATGACAGTTTTAAGAGGACTTATTGTTAGGCCTAATGACGATCTCTCCTGCCCTATATATATTACCTAAATTCAAACTTCAGCAAGGCCACTTGAGTTGAACATCTCAGTCAGTATTAGTGTGAGTTGAAATATATGCAAGATAATCGTGACAGACGTTTTGATTTATGCATAAAGAAATTTTGTTTATAATCTGTATTCTAAAACCACGAAGTTTTATGAATTTAAATAGGATAGTACTTGAAGTGAACGTTCTACAGAAAATCATAAAATTGTAAGTGTTGCTATTTTAAATAATTTCTATAACAGTGTTACGTTTCTGGTCGTTTGTTAATTTCCGGTATAAATTCTTCCCGTGGAACTTCAGCGATACAAGTCCTTTCTTAAATAAAACTAGTTTATTCTTTGTCAATACAACTTTGCAATACACAGAATTTTCATGGTCATTTTAACTTAAACACACACTATAATTCACAACGGTCACTTGATTTAATTATCTGTCTCTATATCTGTCTATCTTTCAGTCTTGTCTCCGCTTTATTTGCCGGGCTTATATACAAAAAAAATAAATAAATAGAGGGCACCAGGAAAAGACTAGAGCTGTCAGAAACAGTCATGATCCTTTAGAAACTCCAGCACGCATGCTTCCAGCGTCTCGTGATTTCCGCTGTCATAACACTGCCCCTTCCTTAAGATTGTTTGTCCCGAACAATAGCCACTTACATTAAACCAATAGCTTGATTAAATGTACATAATTTACAAACACAAAATTAAAATTCAACAAAGTCTCTTAATTTTATGGGACGTATCTTCTTCCATACAGGTCTCCATCTCGTTGCCTTCTGCTTCACGTGGGGTTCATCTGCTCCATCAGGAAATGTTCCATTATCGGTAACAGTCACACCAGTGGTAGTAACTTCGTTAACGGCTTCACCATTTCCCTTCTCTAAACCGGGGAGAGTTTCTTCTTCGACA